ATTATAAATTAATGGATTTTGTATTTCATGTTTAAATGGATGGATATTAGATAATACTTAATCTATTTGTATTCCTATTTGTGGAGATATTATTATTAATGGACATGAATAATGTGATATTAATTAATATATTAAATAATCATTTGGATGTAATTAATGTGAATTTAATTGTTAACATTAATGTATAAATTGTTAATTTGGAAAATGTTATGAATGTATATAAGGTTGGAAATTAAAAAATTATTAATGTGAATCTATTTGTGGTGATAATTACATTTAAGGTTTAGAAGAATGTGATGATATGAATTCAATTAGATTTGATGGATGTAATAATTGTAGAAATGATTGTTAAAAAGAATGTTCATATTGTTAAAGAGGAATATGTTTAGATTGTATTTATGGTTGGCATTTAACTGATTAATTTATTTGTGAATCTTAATGTGGAGATAATTTAATTGCTTTAATATCAAATGAAGAATGTGAAGATTCTAATTATGATTAATTTGATGGATGTTATTAATGTAAAATTGAATGTTGTCATTATTGTAATATATGTATTTATGGATATTGTTATAATTGTGAATATACATTTACATTAATTGATTAATATTGTATTCCTATTTGTGGAGATGGATTAATTACTATTGGTTATGAATAATGTGATGATATGAATGAAATACCATATGATGGTTGTTATAATTGTAATTATTAATGTAGATAATATTGTAAATTATGTATTAAAGGTATATGTTATGATTAATGTGAATATGGATATTATGAACTTGATTATTAATGTTATCCTATTTGTGGTGATGGTATTATAGTTGATTAAGAAGATTGTGATGATTAAAATGATAATTAATTAGATGGATGTCATAATTGTTAATTTCTATGTCCAGATCATTGTGAAATATGTTCAGAAGGAAAATGTAAATTATGTGAATAAGGGTATGAATTAAATGTTATCAAAAACTAATGTTTAACATTTTGTGGTAATGGTTTAGTTTCATAAGAAGAGGAATGTGATGATATGAATAATGAAGATGGAGATGGATGTTCTTAAAAGTGCAAAATAGAGATTAATTATGTTTGCAAAAACTACTAATACTCCTTTACTTAGTGTACTTATGAGAAGTATCCTAAATTTGAAGCTTCATTTATTAAATAAGATTATGAAATTTAATATGTTTCTTTACATTTTGATCAATAAGTTAAAATTTTAGATGATATATTATTTTCAGAATATATCCAATTCAATTTAATAGGAGTTGATTATGAATTTTATAATATCACATTGACCATAGTTTAGGAAGCTTAATAATATTGCACTTACGTAGAATATATAGTTGAAATTGTTATAAATACCACTTTGTCATCTCTACCTGTTCTCGAAGTTATATTAAATGAATAATTATATAATGAAAATGATGCTCCTTTGATTAATCAAAAAGATAGTGTAAGATTAAATCTACCTAAATACTTAGATGATTAAAAATAAAAATCTGCTTAGGTTTTAAAATAAATGGGAACATATATAATGAATTCAATGGGTGGAGCAGGAATTTTGGTACTATTGCTCGGTAATTCATTTATTTTGAGAGGAGTTATTGAAGTACTCCAATAGCAATCTTATTTAAGGTTTATTAATGTAGTATTTCCACTTAATTTATTCATTTATTTTGAATCAACCAATATTATATCAGTTTAACCTATTTTAGATATGTTTAATTTTAATTAATTTTCATCTGAATTGATAGAAATGCCTTTTGTTGAGTCTTATGAAAAATTAAAATTTTATGATATTAATGCAGATNTTGTGGAAATGGAGTATTAGAATAAAATGAATAATGTGATGATGGTAATATTTATGCTTTTGATGGATGTTTTAATTGTTAATATTCTTGTGTTGAAGGATGTTCAAATTGTATTGATGGTATTTGTTTTGAATGTTTAATTGGATGGATATTTTATTCTGATTTTAATACTTGTATTGCTATTATTGATGATACTAAATTTTAAATTTGGGAAGAATGTGATGATAATTTACATTTTTAAATTTGTTTAAATGGTAAATTTATTTGTCCATTAAATTGTTAATCTTGTTAATTTGGTATTTGTTTATAATGTAAATTAAATTATGAATTAATTAATAATAAATGTGAATCTATTTGTTAAAATTAATTAATTGTTAATGATATATAATGTATAGATAATAATTTATAACCATTTGATTAATGTCATTAATGTTAATATGATTTATAATAAGGTTGTTAATTATAAATTAATGGATTTTGTATTTAATGTTTAAATGGATGGATATTAGATAATACTTAATCTATTTGTATACCTATTTGTGGAGATATTATTATTAATGGAAATGAATAATGTGATATTAATTAATATATTAAATAATCATTTGGATGTAATTAATGTGAATTTAATTGTTAACATTAATGTATAAATTGTTAATTTGGAAAATGTTATGATTGTATATAAGGATGGAGAGTAAAAAATTATTAATGTGAATCTATTTGTGGTGATAATTACATTTAAGGTTTAGAAGAATGTGATGATATGAATTCAATTAGATTTGATGGATGTAATAATTGTAGAAATGATTGTTAAAAAGAATGTTCATATTGTTAAAGAGGAATATGTTTAGATTGTATTTATGGTTGGCATTTAACTGATTAATTTATTTGTGAATCTTAATGTGGAGATAATTTAATTGCTTTAATATCAAATGAAGAATGTGAAGATTCTAATTTTGATTAATTTGATGGATGTTATTAATGTAAAATTGAATGTTGTCATTATTGTAATATATGTATTTATGGATATTGTTATAATTGTGAATATACATTTACATTAATTGATTAATATTGTATTCCTATTTGTGGAGATGGATTAATTACTATTGGTTATGAATAATGTGATGATATGAATGAAATACCATATGATGGTTGTTATAATTGTAATTATTAATGTAGATAATATTGTAAATTATGTATTAAAGGTATATGTTATGATTAATGTGAATATGGATATTATGATAGTGATAATTAATGTTATCCTATTTGTGGTGATGGTATTATAGTTGAATAAGAAGATTGTGATGATTAAAATGATAATTAATTAGATGGATGTCATAATTGTTAATTTCTATGTCCAGATCATTGTGAAATATGTTCAGAAGGAAAATGTAAATTATGTGAATAAGGGTATGAATTAAATGTTATCAAAAACTAATGTTAAACATTTTGTGGTAATGGTTTAGTTTCATAAGAAGAGGAATGTGATGATATGAATAATGAAGATGGAGATGGATGTTCAAGGTTTTGTAAGATTGAAACAGATTATCAATGTAAAAATTATGAATATAGTTTCTCATAATGTACTTATACTAAATAACCAAGATTTTATCTTTAATTTAGAGAAGAAAGAGATTAAAAATAATATGTTTCATTATTATTTACTTAATAAGTTAAAAATAAAATTTAAGATTAATATTCTAAATACATTTAAATGAATATTATTGATATGGACATGAATATTTATACATTGAATTTAATAATAATTTAAGAACCAGTTGATTATCCTATAAATGTTGAATATCTTATAGAAATTTAAATTAATTCTACTTTAATTGATCGTCCATATTTAGAGGTTACTTTAGATGAATAACTATATAATTCATAAGATGCTACTCTATTTAATTTATATGATAAAATATAATTAAAATAACCTAAGTATATTGATGATTAAAAATAACAAGCAGCTGCTACTTTAAATTAGGCAAATAGATATTTGATGAATTCTATTGGAGGAATTGGCATACTAGCATTCTTTTTAGGAAATTCATTTATTTTTTCTAGTATATTAGAAGTATTACAATAATAATCTTATTTAAGATTTATTAATGTATAATTTCCTTTTAATTTATTTATATATTTTGAATCAAGTAATATAATAACTATATAACCAATTTTATAATTCTTTAAAGTTGATTCCATTACAACACTAACATTTGATTCAACATATATAGAATCATATGAAAAATTGAAATATTATGAAATTAATGCTGATCTTTTAACTAATATATAAACTTAAGTTTTTCTCATTATAGCCTTGATTATCATTTATTATTCTTGTACATTAATCATTTTTTTGATTGACTCAATTAAAATACAATTTTTATTGCTTATTGGTAAAGTAGCTTATAAATTACTACTTAAAATAAAAAAATTGTGTAGTAATTATCAAAAAGAATTTAGAAAGGAAGGTGTTAAAGCATTTTTAATAGCAAATAGTTGGGATCTTCTTTTTACATGTTTTTTACAATTAAAATGTTCATAATCTAATACAACAATTAGATCTATAATTTGTATAATCTTTGCATATTTAATATTTTATGGATGTATATTAATACTTAGATAATTTATTTACAAAGATTAATTAATTAAACTTAGTTTTTATAATTATTGGATTTCGAAAATGGATCTATTTTTAACATTAAAAAAATTGATATTCATATTCATTTTAGTATGTTTCTAAAAAAATGAATAAATATAACAATTTTAATAACATTTGTTTGTAATTTATATCTTAGTTATGCAATTAAATTTAAACCAGTCAAAAATCAATAAGACTTTTGTAATTTAATTATGATGGAAGGAAGTACTTTTATATTTACCCTAACATCTGCTATCTATTGGAATTAGATGTCAAAAATATTTACTTATGAGAATTAAGTCTTACTTGGATGGGTACATATAACATTATTGTTATCTGTGTTAATTGTGAATCTACTTCTGTAAGTATTTGTTATATTTTTGTAAATAAAATTGTAAATTTAAAACAAACTAAAAAAATTAAACTAAAAAAATGTAGGCAACTCTCATCCATATCCATTAGCTAATTTAATGGAATTTAAGTTGTGATTGATAAATTAAAAAAAATTAATATTGTTTTTGAATAATATTAATAAATACTATAAAAAATCATTAATTGGGTTCTTTTTGTTTAATCTTTAGTTCTATTTCTTTATTTTTTACTTCTAAAATTATTCCAAAAGCTATCATACGACGGTTTTCTATAATTGCTATTCTACCTAGTTAAGGATAATCAATATAATTTTCTAATGTTATCTACTTTATTGGTTTAAATTCAATTATTCCAATATCACCAGCTCTTAAAATTTAAGGATTCTCAATAATTTCATTTTAATTTTTTATATTTAAGTTTTATTAAATCTTCAAAATGCTACATTGCATTCTTTTAGTGAAGAAATGTATTGTATAATACTATTTTTGTTTGAGCTAATGTTTAAAGTCTTCCATGATCTTTATCTTTGCCACAAATGATGCACATTCTTAAGCTGGATCATTATCGACATCTGAACAAATATGTCCATTTGAAATCTCTTTGTATGAAAGTTCTGATAAGTGAACTCCTATTAATTAACCAATAGTTCCTTCTTCTTAAAAACAATGATAAATTTCAATAGATTTAACTCTTGATTTAAATGGAATTGGAGCAAAGCTTACAATTTAATTTTTTTTTAATGTGCCATATAATAATTTTCCAAGGGCAACAGATCTAATTTATTTAATTTTATTTTTTTTCTAATATGTAAAAATTAATTTTAAAAAGGACCAAGCAATTAATATTAATTATTAAGAAATCAATTTTTAAATATATAATACAATCATGCATAACAAACCTAAGAGGCTTGCTTGCTAAGAGTTCTTGATCATAAACTGGAATTTTATCTAAAGCTTCAATTAAAGTTGGACCTTAATACCAATTCATATTTTATTTTTTTTTGTTGATGTTTTCAGCTTCTTTTAAAGATATTGGAATAAATTAAATTTANTTATGGATGTATATTAATACTTAGATAATTTATTTACAAAGATTAATTAATTAAACTTAGTTTTTATAATTATTGGATTTCGAAAATGGATCTATTTTTAACATTAAAAAAATTGATATTCATATTCATTTTAGTATGTTTCTAAAAAAATGAATAAATATAACAATTTTAATAACATTTGTTTGTAATTTATATCTTAGTTATGCAATTAAATTTAAACCAGTCAAAAATCAATAAGACTTTTGTAATTTAATTATGATGGAAGGAAGTACTTTTATATTTACCCTAACATCTGCTATCTATTGGAATTAGATGTCAAAAATATTTACTTATGAGAATTAAGTCTTACTTGGATGGGTACATATAACATTATTGTTATCTGTGTTAATTGTGAATCTACTTCTGTAAGTATTTGTTATATTTTTGTAAATAAAATTGTAAATTTAAAACAAACTAAAAAAATTAAACTAAAAAAATGTAGGCAACTCTCATCCATATCCATTAGCTAATTTAATGGAATTTAAGTTGTGATTGATAAATTAAAAAAAATTAATATTGTTTTTGAATAATATTAATAAATACTATAAAAAATCATTAATTGGGTTCTTTTTATTTAATCTTTAGTTCTATTTCTTTATTTTTTACTTCTAAAATTATTCCAAAAGCTATCATACGACGGTTTTCTATAATTGCTATTCTACCTAGTTAAGGATAATCAATATAATTTTCTAATGTTATCTACTTTATTGGTTTAAATTCAATTATTCCAATATCACCAGCTCTTAAAATTTAAGGATTCTCAATAATTTCATTTTAATTTTTTATATTTAAGTTTTATTAAATCTTCAAAATGCTACATTGCATTCTTTTAGTGAAGAAATGTATTGTATAATACTATTTTTGTTTGAGCTAATGTTTAAAGTCTTCCATGATCTTTATCTTTGCCACAAATGATGCACATTCTTAAGCTGGATCATTATCGACATCTGAACAAATATGTCCATTTGAAATCTCTTTGTATGAAAGTTCTGATAAGTGAACTCCTATTAATTAACCAATAGTTCCTTCTTCTTAAAAACAATGATAAATTTCAATAGATTTAACTCTTGATTTAAATGGAATTGGAGCAAAGCTTACAATTTAATTTTTTTTTAATGTGCCATATAATAATTTTCCAAGGGCAACAGATCTAATTTATTTAATTTTATTTTTTTTCTAATATGTAAAAATTAATTTTAAAAAGGACCAAGCAATTAATATTAATTATTAAGAAATCAATTTTTAAATATATAATACAATCATGCATAACAAACCTAAGAGGCTTGCTTGCTAAGAGTTCTTGATCATAAACTGGAATTTTATCTAAAGCTTCAATTAAAGTTGGACCTTAATACCAATTCATATTTTATTTTTTTTTGTTGATGTTTTCAGCTTCTTTTAAAGATATTGGAATAAATTAAATTTAATATGGATTTATTTCATATTTGACTAAGAGTTAAGAGAAATCATTCACTACAAATTAATAGCTAGCCTATTGATATTCGACTAAATCCATATCATTAATAGCACAAATAATGTTCTATTTACCCAAAGCTACACATAATTGAAGTTATAATTCAAGTGAAGAAGCTAATGTTAAACTTTACAAATATTTATCTTTAACTCCACTCAAAACAAATACTGCTATATCTCCATAAGCAATCCCAATTTGCGTTTAATTTATGTATTAATACTATCCAGAGACATTGATTAAAAAGTACTCTTTACATGTTGTGTTAACATGATAAGTTGAAAATATTTATGTATGTTATAATTTCTGTTCTGATCTAATTCTATCCATCAAAAATGTATATTTAAGATCTGGTTTTTCTTAAACTTTTGGATGGCAATCTATTCTTTCTAAAACATATGGAGAGGCAAAGTTTAATTCTTTAACTATGAGTCCAGCAATTGTTGATTTCCCTTAACCATGAGCTCCTAAGAAAACAACCGATTAATTGCTTAATTTTTATTACATAAATTCTTTACTAAAATTAAAAAAAACAAAAATTGCTTTTATATTCCTCCTAACAAAATATTTTATTCATAAGGTTTATTAACAAATTGTAAAAATATAGAATAATCCTTATTGAAGGAAAAATAAGAATTTATTATAAAACAACTTTTCAATTTCTCAATTTGATATTGAAAGTTAAAATAAGAAAAATTTTAAAGAATTGTAAAAAGAAATAAATATATATTTATTAAACTTAGTTGTTAAGTTATAAGACATTTACATTTATTTGAAAAATAATGATTAATAATTATAAACCAATATACATATGTGTTTCAAATAATGAAGCAAATGAATTTTTTAATAATATTATTGTATCCTCCAAGAATATATGGCATGTTGAAATGTAAATTTTTAAACCGAAAATAAACATAATTTAAATAAAATCATAGAATTGAAATTTAAAAAATGGCCCATGTTAGCATGATGAAAATCAAATAAAATAAGTATTTCAATACAAAATATTCACAAAATTATATTTGATCTTATAGAATAAATTAAAAGATAATGATGGATGGTATATTTTAAAATATTTAGTTATTATTTCATTCAATGTATAGAAATCAAATAATTTGAAGATTTGAAGCATCAATTAAAACAGTTTAAGGAGATTTGAATGGATTTAATAATTAATTGTATATGTGTATTTTAAACACTAAATGTAAATGTGGAATCATATACATAGGAATTACAGATAATGGAATGATTTTAGGAATAAAAATTACAAGAAATTAGAGGATGACTTTTAAATTGAATACGGCAACAATTTTATTCTAATATAGGATTTATTTGTTATTAATGTTGTAGATAAATATTATTCTATTTCAGTAATTAAAATGAGGCATGTATTAAGAGAAATGCAACAATTAATTAGCTAAAGCATAAGAAATTAAATAATATTATTACTTTCTAAATTTCCATTTTTTTAATTCTAAACAATTTTTCCTCTCTTTACAAAAAATCTTTATATTAATGAAGTATAAAGTTATAATTTTCATAATTTATTGCTAACTATTTAAGAAAAACACTTGCATCTATCTTCCTTTTTAATCACATCTTTTAAAAGTAAAATATTATTAAAAAAAATTAATTTTTTTTAATTTGAATTAAGTTATATAAAATATAAGTCAATAATTATGAATGTTCAGAAGAAAGATCTAAATTTTTTTAATTTATTCAAATATTATAAAATCACTTTCGATGATTCCTAAAGAATATGATAAAGTTCAATAAAAAGAAATGGTTTAATACTCACAGATGGGTTAAACTAAGTTTATAAGTTAGATATACTTCTGAAATATAATTAAAAATTAATTAAAGAAAAAATAGATAAATGATAATATGTATATTTTTTATTGTTTAGAAAGTCATAATACTTGAGCAAAAGCTGACGATTTAGATTTCAGCATAATTTACTTTTTGTAAATGAAACATTGATTTTTCTACCCATTATTTCTTTGCCATGAAGTAAAGCTGCTCCATTCAATGCTTCTTCTAATGATGATAGTCTTACTAATGCCATATGTTTTTATCTTAATTTTAAGATTTATTATACTTATCAATATGAATAAATTTGATTGCCTGTACATTTCCTATTCCTCTAAATAATTCCTTAATATAAGATTCATCTTCGCATATTTTACCTTTTATGTTACTTAAATGCAAAGTTTAACTTGGTGGATTAAAAGAGATTGATTTTGTTTCACTAAATCTAAATTAAGATTGTTAGGGCATAAATACTACAGTCTATGGTGATTGAAATGGTAATGGAAATTAAATTTCTTAATAATTTGAATAAAAGATTTTAAGTTTCTAACCAAAAAAGATTTAATTATTCAAATGATCTAAAGCATTTTGTGCATGAGATAGTTTTTAAAATTAAACCAAGGCTGATGTCTTGTGTTTAATATAGATTATAACTAAAACATTACCAAAATTTGACAATAAATTAAAAATGTTTAATGGTGTAATATTTTAATTATTGAGACCTCTTATATAAACTACTTTAGATGGTTAATTCTCTCTTAGAAATTAAGGAGATATANAAAACAGTTTAAGGAGATTTGAATGGATTTAATAATTAATTGTATATGTGTATTTTAAACACTAAATGTAAATGTGGAATCATATACATAGGAATTACAGATAATGGAATGATTTTAGGAATAAAAATTACAAGAAATTAGAGGATGACTTTTAAATTGAATACGGCAACAATTTTATTCTAATATAGGATTTATTTGTTATTAATGTTGTAGATAAATATTATTCTATTTCAGTAATTAAAATGAGGCATGTATTAAGAGAAATGCAACAATTAATTAGCTAAAGCATAAGAAATTAAATAATATTATTACTTTCTAAATTTCCATTTTTTTAATTCTAAACAATTTTTCCTCTCTTTACAAAAAATCTTTATATTAATGAAGTATAAAGTTATAATTTTCATAATTTATTGCTAACTATTTAAGAAAAACACTTGCATCTATCTTCCTTTTTAATCACATCTTTTAAAAGTAAAATATTATTAAAAAAAATTAATTTTTTTTAATTTGAATTAAGTTATATAAAATATAAGTCAATAATTATGAATGTTCAGAAGAAAGATCTAAATTTTTTTAATTTATTCAAATATTATAAAATCACTTTCGATGATTCCTAAAGAATATGATAAAGTTCAATAAAAAGAAATGGTTTAATACTCACAGATGGGTTAAACTAAGTTTATAAGTTAGATATACTTCTGAAATATAATTAAAAATTAATTAAAGAAAAAATAGATAAATGATAATATGTATATTTTTTATTGTTTAGAAAGTCATAATACTTGAGCAAAAGCTGACGATTTAGATTTCAGCATAATTTACTTTTTGTAAATGAAACATTGATTTTTCTACCCATTATTTCTTTGCCATGAAGTAAAGCTGCTCCATTCAATGCTTCTTCTAATGATGATAGTCTTACTAATGCCATATGTTTTTATCTTAATTTTAAGATTTATTATACTTATCAATATGAATAAATTTGATTGCCTGTACATTTCCTATTCCTCTAAATAATTCCTTAATATAAGATTCATCTTCGCATATTTTACCTTTTATGTTACTTAAATGCAAAGTTTAACTTGGTGGATTAAAAGAGATTGATTTTGTTTCACTAAATCTAAATTAAGATTGTTAGGGCATAAATACTACAGTCTATGGTGATTGAAATGGTAATGGAAATTAAATTTCTTAATAATTTGAATAAAAGATTTTAAGTTTCTAACCAAAAAAGATTTAATTATTCAAATGATCTAAAGCATTTTGTGCATGAGATAGTTTTTAAAATTAAACCAAGGCTGATGTCTTGTGTTTAATATAGATTATAACTAAAACATTACCAAAATTTGACAATAAATTAAAAATGTTTAATGGTGTAATATTTTAATTATTGAGACCTCTTATATAAACTACTTTAGATGGTTAATTCTCTCTTAGAAATTAAGGAGATATATAAGTATATGGATCTATGTCTTAATTTTTTTATTTATCTTCTACTTCAGGTATAGAAAACATATAGGAATTCAAATAAATATTTTTTTCAGACGAAAATGCAAGCATTATATCTTCATCAATTGGATCATTTTCGCTATCATCACATTAAATAGATTAAAAAGAGGAAAATTAGTTGTATTTAGGAGAATCTGCATCACCTATAAATTCCAGCGAAGTTTATATTTTTGAAGGTTCCCATTCATTTTTTTATTCTTACGGATCTTATTTATCATTTAAACTAGCTCTTGTTCTTTCATTCCAGAAACTAACAAGGCTTTATTTGATATCTTATTATTGCTAACATATAGTAGGTTGACTAAATGTTTTGGAATGATAGTCTTGCTCATAACTATTCATGGTTTTTATTGAATTCCTTTATCTGATTGATTTGTAATCTACACCTCCTGAATTATTATTGAGAAATGTGACATTCTGTAATGTAGAAAAATAACTAAAGTCATAGATAATAAATTTACACATTCATGATTGTTTAATCATATAATTGACATCCATTTAATTATTACTAAGATAACTTTGCTTATTATAAAGTAGCCATCTCAATAAAGCATTTCCATAGTTTGCCTTTCTCAAATATTAGAATTTTATCAACATCTCCAAAATTTGAAAAGTATCTATAGAACAATGAATGTGGAAGTATTATTGATTAAGGGTTCTACACAATCACCAACAATACTTTTGTTTATTCATTTTCAGATATCATTAATAAAAAAATAAAATTATATATTATATCGATTGTTATTTAAAAATATATTTCAAAGACTATAGATCCTTAATCAATATATTATTTATTTATTAATAATTTATTTATATAATATATTCTATTAAATATCTGATTTTGAATGATGTATTACTTTTTAAAACTAAAAGCACTTAGTTATTATTCATTCGAAATAATTAAACCAAAAAATTAATATCAAATGTTATAAAAATATTATAAAACTCAATATGCAAGTCTTAATTAATTCGATATATGAATCAGCTGGAGATACCAGAATTGAATTAATTAACTTAATGCAAGAAGACATCAAGGTAAAGAAGGGAATTGTTCTGGGTGACTTAAGCAGAATATTTATTATGATAAATCAAATGCTCATTGATACAAATAAATAGGTGATCTTAGCTACTCATGGATTATTATCATCTGTATCTCTATTAACTTAAATATATTAAGCTAATTGATTATTTATTACCTGCTGAATTAGAAGGAGGTTTAAAACACTTTGAAAATTAGCTTATTCATAATTTGGCTGATAGTGATAGATAGATAAGGAAATCAACTAAATCTATTTTCCTTAAATTTATAGCTAAGACTAGAAACTCAGAATAAGTTTTGGAACTATTAAGTGATTCCTTTAAAAATAAAAATTTTTACATAAGAGAACGATCAATAAATTTAATTCCGGATATATTTATAGCAGATAAGTCAATATTTTGCAATAGAACTGGGTAGACTTGTAAATTAATTTAGAATTAATGAAGTGAGAAAAGTTATTGAATCTATAATAATTCACTTAAATGATGTAAATGAATCAGTTAGAAAAGCAAGTAAGAAAGTGATATAGAATCTAAAGAATATAGAGAATTTTGAATTAGTTTATAGAAGATTAGCAGTTTAACATCAAAATGTAGTTGATAAAATACAATAAGAAATGCCACCAAAGGTAGATAAGTTTATTGAATTGAATTTTAAAATCTAAGAACACAAAGATCCATTATTTGATTAGTTTGTGCCTTTTGAATTTATAGCAAAAACAAATCTAACAATAGATGATTTTCCTTAAGACTTAAAGACATAATTATATTTTGGCTTTTTGCCTTAGGAAATACTATAGGATACTTTGAACCAAAAAGATTTAACTATTAGAGAAAAAGGAATAACAGAATTAAATATGCAATTTTTTGAGGATGAGGGTGAATCATAAAATTATGAGTAAAAAACTGTAGATAAAATAGTAAAGGGAAGTTTTATGCCATCATTTTTTAAATATATATCTTCATTATTCTTTAGTGAAGACAAGAAAATAATATTGATGATCTTAAATATAATAGGAAAAATTATGCAAGTACCAGGAGTTTAAGTAAATGTTTATTTGCCACTTTGTTTGCCAGGATTAGTTTAATGTCTTAAAGATGAAAGAGTAATTATCAGATAAAAGGCATTATTTTTGTTAAGGAAATTAACAAATTATATTAGCAAGAAATAATATTTTTAAAATTTAATATATTTCTTAGAATAAAAGATGGATAATTGGCATCAAAAAGAAGAATTAATAAATTTAGTTTCTTATTTGATATTGATGATTCATCCAAGTGAATAATGGTTTTATGGAATTGATTGGAAAGAAATGAATATAAAATAAGAAAAATAAATTGAAGAATTATCATTTAATCTAAGAGAAGTTGACTTTAAAAAGAGTTTGATTACAATTGCTTCATATTTAAATGATTCTATAGCTAAAGTTAAGTATGCCTCTTTGGAATGTCTTAGTTTATTAGCATATCTAGATAAGAAGCATTTGGAATATTTACATGAAATTCTTAATAATAAAGTCTATGAAAAGTTAAATGATAAAGTAGATAATGGAATTGTATATTTTATTAATGATAATGGTAATTTAGAATTACCTTAATTTAATATAAAAAAATTAGAGGAACAAAAAATATAATCATAAATTAAATTGTCAATGGTATAATCTGTATAAAGTGAACCAAAACCTTAAACTCCAGTAGAATCAGAAAAATCAGAAGAGAGTCGTTATAAAATTACATATTATTATGATAAATTTCAAATGTCATTAAATGATAAAATCATAAAATCTAATGCTTCAATAGATAGTTTATTTGCTTCAGAACATAAAAATAATTAAGGAACTAAATATGATATGATAATTCCATTAGGATAATTTTAATAGACAAAAGCCAATGAATAATTCAAATTAGTCAATTCTAATTTATATTTAGAAAAGGAAAAAGTTGATGATAATCCATATGAAGATGAAATTATGCATTCTGATGATGATGAATTATAATCTATTGAATTTGAATATCCAACACGCACTCTTAAATATAGAGGACATGCTCCAGAACAAATTACAAAATCTAAATATTAACCTATTGATGATATAAAGTCAAGAGTATTTCATACAATTAAATAATTAAATGAGGACATTAATGTAGATCTACAAATACCTAAAGTAATTAAGGCTAATGTAGGAGCCTATTCTGGATATAAATATGAAGATGAAGAAGAAGCAGATGATGAAGAAATATTTATTGATACAAAACTAATAAAATAATAGCATAGATAAACATAACCTACATAAGAAGAATCAATAATAAATGATGAAAAAGTAATGAAAGAAAATTTTGCAGATAATTAAATAGAATAAGTTTAAGAAATTATAAAGAATTAATAATTAATTTATACACCAGAATAAAGATATTAAAAAAGATTAGATGAATTTTTATTATCTTTTGAATAAAGAGATAATAAAAATAAAGGAAAAAATGCAAGAAAATTAAAGAAGAAACTTAAAGAAATTGCAAAATAAGAAGAATTACCTAAAGTATT